ATCGGGCAAACGAGAAAGAGCACCGCCGAAAGGGTCAAGCAAAGGCTCGTCAGATGCTCAAGCTCGCTATCTCTTCAGCCGAAGAAAAGCTTTCCCAAGGCTGCCACATCATTAGCTTGTCTGAAATACCACACTGACGACTGGCCATAGTTCATATTACGATGTCGCTGCTCACAGAAGCACATGCCAAAGACGACGCAAGCAAAAAAGGCTCTGTGGTTACCCGAGCAAGCACTGTACATGATACATGCTAGCTCCAGGTGCGCACTCCAGTCTTGTGGCCTCGATCGTCCAGCCGTTGCTGCACTGCCGAAGTCGACTTGCGTTCTGCTCTTTACTGCCTGGGACATCGACGCTCTGTCAGGGTTGGGGTTGCTCGTGCTCGTATATGCGTGGTCACACTTCGCCGGTGTTCATACTCATTAAAGTTAGCAGTACGGCTACAGTGACTGCGGTACAGTACTTTCATGGCCAACCAAACTAAGCCCAACATTCATCCTTGCAATTGCAACTCCTTGTCTTCGGAAAATCTCCTCCGAAACGCCACAACAAAAGCACACACGAGAACACGTCTCGAAGGCCACGCTGCTGAAGGGGTCGCCGTAGCCGTAGGTGCCAAGGATCGGGTCTAAATCCGCACTGTAGGCCCAGATGTTTGCCGCGCTCAGGTAGAAGGGCCTCACAGCGCCGGACACTTCGCTTCGAGGGGTTCAGCAGATTCGGTCTCTGTCTTGAAGCCGCTCCGTTGCAAGGGCTCCTGTACATGGGAAGCGAAGGTGGGGGGACTCTCCTTCTTGCAAAAAACCTGTTTCATGCATAGTTTGAGGTAGCTGTGGTTACAGTGCGAGATCCTGCAGCAAGGTGCGAGAGGGCCGGGGCTCATTGCAGTTCCCCTGAACAACCCTAAGTCTGGTGCTCTGTGAAGGATTTCCCATCCGAATCGCTAAGGCTCCCTTTCAGAGTTTTTATCCAGAAACCCTGCTACCTGGGGGCCTGTCTACTGCCGTGCCTTTTTCGAAGCTCCGGATCCGCAATAAAGGTTGATTGGCGTTACTGCCATCGCAGCCAGCAGAAGTGCTAGGATGCTAGGAATGACACGAAACACTCGATGATGCAAACAAGCAGCAACACAATAGCTGCTAGTATGGGGGACCATGCATTCGGACTGAGTTAGTGGCATTGTAATCACTACGATGAAGCCTCGTCACAGTCATCTCTCAGAGCGGGGGTTGGGCTTTTTTGAAGTTCTGGGAACTGTGGGGAACAGGCGCCTTCTCCAACAGATAGGTGACTACTTGGAGGTTCATGGGTAGTTATAAGTGGGGTTATAAGTCCCCTAATATGGATTATAACTACAGTTACCTTACTTATAACCCCATCTATAACTACCCATGAACCTCCAAGTAGGGCACAGGTCCGTAATGTGGCTTCCAACAACAAGGAAGTCGAAGCTTCTCCTCACCTCCGAGGCCGACAAGCAACAAGCTTGTGCTCCCAAGGACAAAAGCCGGCGTAACAATCCGAGGAGCGAGTCCTTCAACCACCTGCACGCTTTGAAGTTCGGGCCCTCGTCGCCTCAGCCGGGCCCAGACCCCAGAGAGCCCAATACCCCTTAATTAAGGAATATGGCTTAAAAGATATAGGGCTTCATATTATGATTTAAGCTATATTCCTTAATTAAGGGGTATTGGGCTCTCTGGGCAGAGCTCCCTGAGGCAAACTGACCCTAGGGCCTTGGGATTACAGGCGTTTTTACTGTTCATTTTGAGGATGTCCCGTGAGCAGCGATCTCTAGCACTTCCGCAAATCACTAAGGCCACCATTCCCGACACATTGCCAAGAAGAACCTATGCAATGCCAAAGTCACAAAGTTCCCGGAATAAAAACTCATGATTTTCAGTCTTTGGATATGCCCTAAAGGAACCCCAAAATCAAATCTGGTTTTGAAGATACTTCGAACAAATGCTGAGTTGCTAATGGGCAAGCCTGACCTTGCAGTGAGTATACTGAAGAATTCCCTGTTATACGCAGGTTTCCTCGACAACTGTTTCAGGTTGTATGAAGGCCTTCAGCTTCCTCCTGAAGCTATGGTAAGTTATGTGACAAACAAGGCTATGCAATTGGATAGGCATGGTTCCCGCACGGGTTTGCTCCGCACTAGCTGGCTTTACAAAAGAGGACGGGGGTAGTAGACTTAGTAAAAGTGAACACCCGAAACCAGTAAGTCGGAAAGTCCAAACCAGGCTATCTTTTGCCGTTGGGTTGCAGGGGCGGCTCTCGCCACACTTCTCCGGGCACCCTCCTAGGCATGATGAGCAGGTGTAATTGTCCTGGCAAGAGCTCTTCGGGGTTCATGGGGAGTTATAAGTGGGGTTATAGGTCCCCTAATATGGGTTGTAACAGTTATACCAGTAGTTGCCTTACTTACAATTGTCCTGGCCAGACTTCTGGTTTCAGGGTCCCAGATTGCTTGTGAAGTCTGGGCTTGAGGAACACAGGTGTTCAGAAGGCTTACGCCTATGGTTCATGTGGGGTTTAAGAATCAGGATAATGGCTGCTCCTCTTGGGCTGAATGACTCAGAAACAGCGCCAACACGTGGGGAGTTACGCAATGAAACCTGAGGATCTCTCAGGTTTCGTGAGGCTTGGGTTATGTGCTCCGCGTTGGTTCTCTGAGCTATTGTTCTAGTTGGGCTCGAGCCCTTTACATGGGTTCTCCTGCAAGGCCATTTTCACACCCTTTTCCCTCTCCTGTAGCCGGTGTGCGTACTCTGGAAATTTCCGTAGCGGCGCCAACGCGCGTCGGCACTTCTAGATTCTAGTCAAGAGAAACCCATACTATCAGTCCCAATAGGAAAACCAACCACCTGCCGGCTCCTCGTCCTCACAATTGGGACAGTCGCAAAAGCCATCGTTAAGCCACTCCTCAGAGTGTTCTGTCAGCTTCGTCAGGTTGCAAACAGCATAGTAGCATCCATATCTCTACGAGTGTGACAACTGCACTCACGTACAGCCGGTATGCGCAAGTTATGCTCACCGACATCATTAAAAAGATTGCACAAATACCTTCTAATATCATCGTACGTGCGTGAAGCTTTGCTCAAGACCTTGGTGCGGAATTGCAAGCGGCCGACTGCTAAACCCGGCAACCCAAACCCCAGACCTGGATTAACACCCGAAGCACTTTGAACCCAAGAAAGCTGCAAGACTTCCCAGAGACTCCAATATCCCTTAATTAAGGAATATTCCTTAAATCATATTAGGGATCCGACTATAATTTAAGGAATATCCCTTAATTAAGGGATATTGGAGTCTCTGGGTTCCTCTTGCTGCATCGGGGATGCACGTGATGTGTTGAAGGTGTTGGGGTCCGAAGAGTTGCCTGGGTCCAAAAAGGCTTCGCGCTTCGTTGTTCTATACTGAACTTGGAACCCTAGCAAAAACTATAATTTTAGCTGTTTCTTAGGGACTATAATAACCAAAATTTAAAAAATAAGTACGCCTAAGTGTTGGGCTGTTACTGTCACGAGACAAACCGGATGGTTGCGAAGCTGTCTATTCGATCGCTCCGCTGGCACAGGACCCAGGGCATAGCCCATTGCTAAGCCGCCGCTGTAATTTGGTCCCCAAGTAACCCATCGATATACCCTTGTTTGCTCTGCGTTAGTTCAAAAACAGCGGTGCCAGCAAAGGATTAACAGCGCATTGCTGGGGGCACGACTGTATCCTCACAGCGCCTGTAAAAGTGCTATGTGCTGCTTTCCACGGCTTCTAGGGATAAGACTGCTTCCTGTTTTGGGACTCCCCTCCCAACAAGCCATTTTTCGGGACCGACGGATATGTAGGCAGTTTGAACCCTCCAATGTTTCCACTTCCCCGATGCCGCAACTTTCACTAACGAGTACAAGTGAGTCAGATCCTGCACGCAACTGAAGTGGACCACTTCTGCTGTTGTAAGGATTAGCCAAGGACCTAAGCATTTTGAACTTAATGGTTCCTGTCATTCACAAAAATCATTTTCGGTTGTTTGCCAGGAGTGAGTCTGGCAGTATCATCATGTGTGTAAGTACCCTAAACCCTAAACCCTAAACCGTAGCTGGTTGACCAGCTGCTCGTGCCGTCATTGCTACGCAACTTTACTCCTCACCGAACCGCGGTCGCCAAACGCAAACCCAGATCATCCCCCGAGAAAGCCCTGATGACAATCCTTGCCTTGTCACCCGTTCCCCACTCCCAAAAAAAAACCTGATCCAGCCAAAGATGCAGGAGATGATGTCCGCTGGTGCCATGTACTCGGCGGCATAAAGTTGGCACTCAGGGACGATGCTGTCCCCAATCTTGGAACCGCCGCTCAAGGAGGCAGGGTCAGATAGAGGGGTCTCAACTTTCAACGTTTTTCCTACTTGCCTCACCGGAGGTTTCGGGGCCACTTGATTTCTGGCCTTGCGCTGGAGTTGCACTTCCTGTCTGGAAGTGCAATGGCACCTCCGATTCCTGCGTGTAGCCGAAGTTCTGCTACTACTGTTGTTGGCAAATCTTCATTGTATTCCAGCTGCAGATATGTGCATCTAATCACTTTGATGCTTGTCAGTCTTGCTACTGTCATGCCCCAGAATAGGGCACTCCAACCTTTCAAACCAAGCAGCCGAAATCCAGTTGCCTCAGCTTGGCTGCCACAGGGCTCCAGGCTTGTTGGGTGAGCTGCAGTTGAGCATGCCTTCACATATTATATAAGCCACTGGCAGGTGCATCATGCGGAAACCTCTGTTCGAGGACTTTAAACTTTCCCCGTATTAGAAACCGCATCGTGCAGAACAGAAGATGTCACGGGGTGAAACCGCTGGAAACGCACAGCCATTGTCGGGTCAAGTCAGTGCCGGCCGGCATTCGAAGGGTTGGCCGCAGGCAGAGGTGTTGCTGATGCTGGTGCCCGGAAAGGACTCATCCACGAAAACCGGCATGAACGGTGAAGGGCATCCCCCGCACACCTGCCAACACATCGGGGTTACCTGTAATGTTCACCCCGTAGTGCTGATTCAGGTTGCCGACGTACGTCTCAGTTTTTGGAGTCGGGTGCGTGGGCTTCGGGTCAAATACATTGTCGCGCATGTTTTTGTTATACGCATGCTGCCACAATCCTCGGACATTGTACGTGCTGTCTGAATACATGAGCTACAAGGTTCCCATGTGTACGTGCCCCTTCGATTCAGACGCAAAGGTACGCAGGGCATCGCGGCTCTAGCCCTCATATATATCATAACCTGGTCGCTTGCCGTGCCACCTGATCATGCTGGGCATGCAAAAACCTTCATGCAAGGAAAAATTCTGAGCCAACGAACCAACGGCTTTTTCACACCAGGGCCCGTTGTTTCTCCAGCTACAGCAGTACCCTCAACTAAAACCCATGATGCTCTGCGAAACCTCAGCGCAAACACTTTACACAACACCTTGAAGATTTGCACACAGCACTGAAGCATGACAATGAATATGAAAAGAACTCGTAATGCAAAGGCACGAACCCGCGGGGTAGCATCATAGTTACAAGCTGTAGGAACTTCTGCAATCCCAAACCCTAAACCCTAAACCCTTAAACCACCGCCTCACAGGAGAAGGACTCGTCCTCACAGTCCGGGCAGTCGCAATAAGAGTCGTCATCCCAGTATTCCTCAAGCTGCTTCCCAGTAGAGTTCTGATTTCGGTGGTAATGGCGTGATTCACCATAGTGCTTTATACTGCTGAAGCCTGGAGCAACAGAGCTTTCTCTGACCCCTAACTCCGACGCGAATTTCATGTTCTTCCATCCATATTCGCACGCCAGGCTGCAATCGGGATAGTCCAGCCATTGTTGCAGGTCTGCGGCAGTGCACGTCAGACAGCGTTCACATGTAAGCACACGACAAAAGCAGATCAATTCACCCCAGCAGTTCCTCGCAAGAGCAACGCTTCACGCTGGGGCCTTCTTCTGTGGGGGGGGCAAGGCCGACCAAATTATCAGCCGCGCCTTGTAGCCAGACAAGGCGCTCCACTGGAGATCAGCGTTTGAACACTCGGCCGCAAGGTCGAAGGTAGCATTCTCTCCACCTCGCAATGCGAGAAGATGGTTCTTCTGGCCTACTCTAAAACATGACCCCTGCCGCAAAGGCACATTCTGCCCAAGTCCCACAGACCAATGGGCAGTACCCACAGGTCTCGCAAGTGTAGTTCGCTTCGTCTCTGCAATCAGGGCAATCGCATTGGCTGTCGTTGACATACTCCTTAGGCACAAAGAGGGTTTTGGTTGCCCCAACACTAACACCGAAACTAGAATTCCACAGGGTCCTGAGTTCGGGGTTTCAGTAGGTGGTGAGAACTTGCAAGGAGGCTGGCAAGTAGGGCCCCCCCAAGAAGCATTCGGAAGGCGATCCGGACCATCATGCTCAACAACCTCCCGACATGAAGCAGAGCCCTTCAATCCGAGGATCACGAGGCGACTCGCTGTGAGAATTGTTTGTCACTTCTTCCCGAGAATATAAAGTGGGAGTTTCCGAAAATAGAGGGTACCTTATTTGGGGGGTCCTTATAATAAGGATCCTACTATTCAGGCTACTAAGTGTAGGGTCCCCTATTTTCGGAAACTCCCAGGTAGAGTGCTATCCCAGATGCGGCCGGGACCCTGTAGCCGACAGGGCCACAGTCAAAGAGCGCGTCCTTGAGCTGTTTTTGTTTTCGAAGCGGTAGTTTTCGGGCAGTTTCCGGCTGCAAGGCTCAGCAACCTCGGTAGAGGCGGGTTCAGAGGATTTTATGGTTTTCAGCCTTTTGCATTGTTACGTCTCTTGTGTCGCTGAAAACTCGAGCAGAGGCGATGTCGTGGTCATACAGGGTTCTTGTCATGTTTGTTGATGTCGCCATTGAGCTCCCATTAGCTGCCCAAATCCACTCTTACGTTAAAACAGTCTTGAAACAAACCAAAATCAACAAGCCTTGAACCCTACCAACACCCTAAAACCCTGAAGCCTCAGCTGAAGCAGCCTGGACCTACAGGGGCGAAGCCGTGACAGCAGAGCTTCGCGGAAACTGGACAGCGTGAACACCGACTTCCGTTTTGTCAGGAGTATACTTGAAGGATCATGGGACTTAGTAAGTCAGGCTATAAGTACCTTAATTGGGGTTATAAGTAGTTATAAGTACTGTTACCCTAATTGTAACCCTAGTTACTAAGTCCCATGATCCTCAAAGTAAAGTTGCTCAAGCAGTTTCACATGGGGGAAAACTGCTTTCCTAGTGAACCACCACTAGGAAACGAGTTGCATGATATTCCGTACCTGACTACCGAAACTCCCCTGATGAACAATCCCAATCCGAAAGCCTTCCAACAAGAAAGTTGTCCTGGAGGGTCTTACCCCTGCAGAGTCATAGCCGCAATGAGGCCAAGTCTCTAAGTCCCAGTTGTCCCTCTCTGCTACAGCCGCGCATTCGGACAGCAATCCACTATCATCAGGGTTGCCTTAAATGCAGTTGCACTGCATGGCGCACTATCACGATGCCTCGCGTCGGTAGGAGCCTGCTGCCATCCCCTCAAGACTCAATGGAGGGTCCCATTCGTAGAAGGCCCAAACCGACAAGACCGACCGAAACGCTTGCTGGCATCCTGAAAACCCGAGCTGTGCCACGTGACAATCGACAGACTCGCCACAGACGGTCGGACAGCCGCCACACTGGTCACCTGGCGATGCCGACTTCGACCGTCGAGGCTAGCATTCTCTAGACATATCTGAAACCTAGAGACAAGAGCGGGTGAGCTACACTATAAACTTCAAATGATGCTTCACAAGGGCAACCCTTTTTAGATCTTTCTCAAGCTCCATCGTTCGGGCTTTGATGAGCGACTGTGCTGGAAAATTCCTGTTCGGATTCGGTCAGCTGACCCTCATCTGCTGAACATGGACTCGTATAGACTCGCTACCCATTTACCAGGCCAGGGTGCAACCGAATTTGCCCGTGAGGCCTCGGAAGGAGTCCTGAAAAGCTCACGGTCTGAACGCCTTCTGTTTTAAAGTTTGCGAGATTTTGCGAACTCATCCCCGCGCCGGACTGCTTGAGGTTTGCACTTCGGGTCAACAGCGTTTTCGGCGCCGTGCGAGCAATATTGGCCGCAGCCATTGCAAGGTAGCATCAGACTTCAACACGGGTTGCATGGAGAGGCTTCGCGCTACCTAGTGCTTCGAAGGCCGAATAGAGGCGCTAGGTGTTACCCTGCCCGCCCTGGCATCGGTCTGTCAATCTGGGTTTCGAATGCTCCACTGAACACCGAATCAAAGTGTCAACCGTGCACGTGGGAGTTAGAAGTAGGGGGACCCTCGGGGATATAGACCCTCTCAATAAGGCCCTTTTAAGAGAGAGCCAGAAGGTAGGGTTCAGAAGGGGTACCCTTTAAGGGGTCCCCCTAGTAATACTACCAACCCTGCCCCTGTCCGGAAGTTGGCTCAAGCCGAGGTTGAGTAGCCTCGAAAATGCGGCTCATGCTTTAGAAGCTGCCCCCCTAAACCCTGTAATAGTGACTACAAGAGGAATTTTTTAAGGCCCTATTATCTTCCTATTATACCACTATCTCAGGGTGGGGGCAGCTTCTAAGGCATGCTTGGAGAGCGGGCACAGAAACGTTGCCAGCAATTCTCTTGGCTTTCCATCTAGTCAAAACTGGCCGTGACAAGGGCGAAAACCGTAGACCGCGGGTTCAAAACAGCACTCTCATCTCTCTGTTGGGAGACTGTCTTGCGGGTGAGGAAAGGCTTCTGATCCCTGTAAGAGAGTTGGGACAGTTTGTGAAATTGAAAGATCATGCCAGGATTTGGGCCGTCGTATCAGGACTCTTGCAGTATAGGCAAGACGGCGAATCAACCGAGCAACAGGCTTAGTAACTAAACTGCATGACTGCGGCACAGGTTACAAGATCAGAAGAACATCTGCTATGAGACGTCTTGTGGGGCTCCACATCCATATGGGAGTTTCCGAAAATGGGGGAACGCTAATATAGTACCTTAAGTAATAGGAATAGGATCCTTACTACAAGGACCCCAAATAAGGTACCCCTAATTTTCGGAAAGTCCCTCTGGGAGCTTCCTAAAAAAACTGGGACCCGATTTTGGCACCCTTCTTTGCATCTGGGCTTGCGCAACACCGCCAGAGACAGTCGACCCTCGAAGCTTGCGCAGATCTGAAATAGGACCCTACAGGGAACTCCAGAAAGTTGGAATATGGATTAATGGTAGGATCCCCTACAATTTACCTTACAGGGGTTACGATAATGATATTCCAACTTTCTGGCTTCTACTGTAAATCCCTAAATAATGTACCCTAGTTTTCTGAAATTCCCAGAAGGTCTCTGTGTGGCCCAGAGCCTCCAAAACCCCTTAATTAAGGAATATACCTTAAATCATATAAGGGATCCTATTATAATTTAAAATATATTCCTTAATTAAGGGGTTTTGGAGGCTCTGGGGGGTGCTCTGGTACAACCCAGGAGCTCTTCCTCGTCTTCACAATTTGGACAGTCGCAGACCATGTTGAGCCAGTAATCCTTGGCTTCTCAGCTATTACAGAAGGATTATAAAGGAATCCTTCCGCGCAAGGATTTGGGGCTCGTCTGAGAAACACCAACTTCTTAACATCTTTTGCTGCTCATCTTCCTTCGCTCGCCACAATCTCACCCTTGCTCTGAGCAGACCCAAAACACACATTCCCCATGCAAAAAAACTCTAGCTACGCATTTCCTGGGGGTCGTGAGGAGAATAGAATCTCATTCCCTCTTGTCCTGACACCTAACACTCTGCCCTGTTTACCCTCTCGTGCATTCTGGCAGAAGATGGGGGTTTCCGAAAATAGGGGACCCTAATATAGAACCCTAGATAGTAGGATCCTTATTAAAAGGGCCCCCAAAAAGGTACCCCTAGTTTTCGGACACTCCCGAGTGGTACAAGGCTTTCACGTGGTTTTTTCACACAGCGCAGCCTCCGGCCCTTCTGTTTTGTATGTTTGACTTCAATAGAGAGTCTAATCAGTGGTTTTGCGGTTCCCTTGGCTCTTTAGCTCCTTATTTAGTAGGGGCTATCATCATCCCTGGCTCCTTAGCTCCCCCAATACCAATGGTTAGGAGTGCGCAACACTCTTCAGGTTAGCATGCTCCACAGAAACGAGAGGTGCTCTTTTGGTTGTGAAAGTACTTGTTGGTATCCCAAGACTCCTACTGCCTCTATTGCTTCTTTGATGACTATCGACTACTAGTCCTCTTCTTGCTACAGTCGGTTTCGCCGTTTCATATACAATGTCAAACCTTAGGCTTCATGCCCTGATCCCAAAGCCCTGAATCTAGAAGCGAAACAGCAAAGCCGGAACATAAAAGCATACACCGCGAAGCCGAAACTCGAAAGATACTGAATTGAACGGTGCAAGCGGCCGTCGGAATGGCCCACCCGCCTTTCCAGGTGAAGCACTTTTAGGGTTCCGGCTCTAGGGTGTAGGTTGCAAGGCTCTGGGTTCATGCATCCATGCATGCTCACATGAATGGGCACAAGCACCGACGATTCGTGCTTTGCACGCATCGTTACTTACCAGTACCATGAATGACGTTCAGTGGTCCACTACTGACTGAAACGACATGCGTGCATACATGGCATGTGCGGCTACATACCTTACCGCCGACATACTTGCACAATCTTGCACACATGCACAGTCCAAAGGCGTTCTTCCCAAAGCATGGTGGGACCGGCCGTCTGCCAGAATGTCCGCCAGCGTGATATTGGCCACTGTACGGAGGAGATCAAGGACCCGGTTGCCTCGGTAGATCAGCTGAAACGGGTGTCTAGGCTGGTATGTCTTGTAAACTTGCGTCTAGTCACTCTGGTGGTGCCGATGCTCACGGTGTGCGGTTCATAAGGATTTACAATGATGGATTCGGTGGCACGGCCTATAGAACAACAACACCCCCCCCAGAGAACAACAACCCGCCCCCCCACCCCGCTATCGGCTACATTTGTGTCTGTAGGCCCTGTAGGCAATTGGACACGGGATTCCCTGCCCCTGCCCCTCCCCGCCTTTCTCTGTCCCTTTTTCTGCCTCCGCCCAGACTACTCTTCACCTGTGGCCGCATGTAAGGATACAAGTATAAAGCGATCCGGAAGAGGACAAAATAAACACAGTGGTGCTTATAATCACATCTATGTGATAACTGTGCTTCTGACCCCTCAAAGAAACCAACCCAACCCGAGACCCTGTCTCTTTGATTCCAAGAAGCGCTGCGCAGCATTGAAGCAAGGCGTCCATGAGTCACTCGTAACCTTCGGGCTTCTGTATCTAGACTTTAAAAAAAGTACAGTAGCAGTTTCGGGAAACCCTAAACCCTAAACCCGGTTCAGTTCGGGAAGGGGGGGGCCGGGCTGAGTGCCAAGGAACACTTGCGGGAAGTGGCACCAAGCACTCGAAGAACTGGGAGTAGTTCACCGCCTGCAGAGAGACAAAAGCTCAGGTTCGATTGTGGTCCCAGGCCTTTCGTAGGTCCAGGACTCAGGAACCGAGAATGCTATGTGCACCATTCCGCAAGTTACATTCCTTAGATTTCCTTTCGTTCGCTTGCTCATCCGTCGTCGGCACTGGCTTTCACGCCGCCTGGCTGTCGGTGGCGTTCGCTTCCTCGGCTGGAAAATGAGAAAAGCCTTGCCGCGAAAGACAGGCGCTTATGCGGCCTTGGTAAGGTTGTATTATAGTGTGCCCTCCTTCCAGCGATACATGTGATACTGGTGACATGACGAAATCGCGCAAACGGAAGAAACCCTGAGCCTGGATTGGTAGTGCAAACCAATTTATCCGTTCCATTGGCGAAAAATTGAAATCTGCCATAGTATGGTCCATTTCGCCTATCCCCACAATGACTGTGCCGCTTGTATGGCCTACATCTGGCGCCCTGCATTTCCTTGAGGTTCCTCGAGATTCCGTTGAAACACTTAGGCTGCGGGTCCTGAGCTGCTTTTTTATTCAGGTTGGAACCAATTGAGTCTGAATAAAGTTGTAGGTGCTATGGCATCTGTGATCCATCAGGACCTTAAGATCCTAGGTGCCGAATGGAGCTTCCAGCCGCAGGCCCGCATTTCCGAAAACCCGAAATCCTGCACCCTGGCCGTTCTCCATCCTTGCGCTCAGGTGCCCTAAAGTTGGCCAGCACGATGTGTGGGACCACCTGGGAGTCTCAACAAGGGTGGTCTCTGCTGGGGCCGCAAGGACATACTGAAGGACTGTGCAAGGGGCTGCCGAAGGTCGCAACTGTCCCGAGAAGCCACGAAGTTCGTTCCCTCACATTCGCCCCTGCCTGCCATCCTCAAGTGCAGCCCATCCGGCTTCAAACCACAAGACAAACCTGCAACCTCACCTGCTATGCCTGTACAACTCTGCCTGATCACGCCCTCGCACCTGCAACCCGCGTGTACAATCCCTTGATTCCCAGAGAGCCCAAAACCCCTTAATTAAGGAATATAGCTTAAACCATAATATGAAGCCCCCTATAATTTAAGGTATCTTCCTTAATTAAGGGGTGTTGGGCTCTCTGGGTTAGGGGATAAGCCATCCTTGCGCCAACCCGCGGGACTGGAGCCTTGATTCGGGATGTCGGCTGCAGGGCGGGTTATGGTGACCGCTCTGTCCACCGTTAGATGTGTTTTGCTGTTTAGTTTTAGGGTTTAGGGTTTAGGTTCCACTGATTCCTGATTTTCCATGTTCATGGAACAAACTGGAACAAATCATCTTTCAACTGGCTGACAATTCTCATCATCATCAGAACAAACTGTAGCAAGAAAAACGGATGCACCATAACAACGCAAGAAGGCTCATGGGCTCCAATATACCCCCGCTCTGTACGACGACCCCTCAGCTTGGCAAACCCTAAACCCTAAACCAGGTAACTTCTGGCAAAGTAAGGCTAAAGTCTCCGTCAGGGTGGAGCCTTAGCCATGGCCTCACTCAACATGCAAGACTGCCCCCGCCCCCAGAGACAACACCCCTTAATTCAGGAATATACCTTAAATTATAGGGGGCTTCATATTATGGTTTAAGCTATATTCCTTAATTAGGGGTATTGGGCTCTCTGCGCCTGTCCGCTGGCTGCCGTAGCTGTCGAGATCACGATGACAGCCGACCTGTTGACCAAGTACCTCGACCATGTGCAGCGCACAAGGGCGAGTGGGCATCTGCCAGCAGTGCTTACCCATCACAACCATCGGCTTATAATAATACCCTACCAAGCCAGGGCATCACTAATTCGGTATGGCTACCTTATTCCAGGAACAACCTGTAAATCCTACCCCAAGCCCTGCACTCGCGACACCCCAAAATCCTCAAGGCTTGTGGAGTGCACAGCGGCAAGCAGCTCTTTCTCTTATCTAAGGACACAGAAACCAAACACCCCTGGGTGTTGACTCCAAGGATGCGAACATTGGCATATCGAGTCGTGGCAACCCTGCGGGCACTGGTTCGTGAGCGGCGAGTTCAGAAAGAGGGTGCCCGGCGTCTGGCGGCGGGAGAATGCAGAACTGCCCTCAGCGTAGGATTTTGGCTGGGGTTGGAGGTTGTTGCTGCAGGATGGTTCGGCACATGCCTTCGATCGCAGCTGCGTGCGATGAGGTTGGGGCAATGGCTGTATTCCAGGTGAGTTTGGAATCTGGACAGCAGCGTTTACGGCTCCAGTCTCATCTGCATGGATGCAAGCCACTCAAAACCCCCGACCAGCTCGACTTTGAAAGGGAACACAACCACCATGCCAGCGACAGCGACGTCGCGCTTCTCGTCACTACATCCTGATGCAAATCCCCAACCCAACAAAATTGGAACCTGGCGGCTGGATGCATTGAATCTGCTCCCGCCCTCCATTCATTCCCTGTCTCGTCTCCCCCAACCACGGCACCATGCTAGTGCGTAGCTCGACCCAGCAGAATCTTGCAGGTTTCAGCTGCAAAACCCTCGACCTCTGAAGCCTCGAAACCGACGCCGATACCGCCCTCAGCCTAAATGCGAAACACGTGCAAAAGGCTCCCGGATTCCCCGTTGGCACTGCATGAAGCCTCCAAGCTCCATGTGGCCTTCTCTACACGAGGTTTGCTTTCACGCCGCATCTGTAGAGCGTCTCGTGACGGAGAGGAAGAATCACCGTGGTTACATAACCGTGGATAATCACCGTGCGTGCGCGGGTGGGTCTAACTGGCCGTGCGGGTGCTAGTAGTCGTCTGCCTATTTGTGGAGCTTCGGCGCTAAATGCACACCCTCAACCCGCCCAAGTCCTGCGAGAAAAACCCATGAAAAGCCAAGCAGCTTCAACGAGGCCAACACCCGAGGTGATGTTGATGACAGTCCGGACCTCACTTCCAGCCGTGTCCTTGGATTCACGCTGGCCTCTTGTGTAAGGTGCAGCTCGGTCCGGAGCTTCTCTCAATATTGTGTGTGAGAAAAATCTCTTCTACCTGCGATCCTGGCATCAGAGATATAAACCGAGATCCCGATCCTGAAGATGCCCACGTCCGCCACTGGGATGCTCGTGGAGCCGTTAGCTACGTCTTCAGTGAGCACTTCGGATGTGGGAGCTCTGGTGGTCGTGGTGGTGGTGAAGCGGTTGATGCAGCCCAGCCTACTGGGCCTCGTTCTCCAATAAAGGGCTATAAGTAATTATAAGTATAGTTATCCTAATAATAACCCTGGTTACTAAGTCCCATGATCCTTTAAGTAACCCTAAAAACCCCTCTTATAGTTATTATAGAGCCCTTATGGATCCCTTTTTATCATAGGGATCCTTAGGGGTGTTGGGGGGGAGGGGTGTAGGGGACTATATTTCGTTAAATAGGCCTTATTAGTCCTCATTATGGGCCTTAAGGCCCCCTACCCCCCCTCCCCCTACACCCCTAAGGATCCATATGATTTTAGGAACCTTAAGTGGGCCTCGTTTGTTCACGCTTGCTGGCTCCTGGTCTGGGGCATCCGGAGCCGAAGAGGCTCAAATGGAAGGTGCGGCAAGAAAGGAAGCCTTGGTTTAGGGTTTAGGGTTTTTTTTGAATGGTTTAGGGTTTTTTTTGAATGGTTTAGGGTTTAGGGTTTAGGGTTTAGGTTTTTTGAATGGTTTAGGATTTAGGGTTTAGGTTTTTTTTTGAATGGTTTAGGGTTTAGTTTTTTTAAATGGTTTAGGGTTTCGGGTTTTTTTTGAATGATTTAGGGATTAGGGTTTAGAGCCTTGTTCATTGTTGGGATCGGATTGAAAATGTACAACTTTTATTCCTTGTTGGGTTTAAGTACCCATGAAGATGTAAAATGTTACCCAACTATGACAAAGAAACCTTCTGGCGGATCTTCGAGAGTCTCGAGGCCATCGTTCGTCCACTCCTGAAGATCCTCGTCCCAGGTCAGGCATTCCACGTCAGGATCCGTTGTTGGAATCGTGAAGTCGATGGGCTCTGGCAGATTTCCTGGCCACAACAACCCCTTGGCATGATGCAGCTAAATCCGGCTTCTGCGTAGGTGGTAATTGGGGGACTCTGCCGTGAGGTCATATGCAGATTATTCTGTGCTGCCGCTGAAGTTGTGAGTTCAAGGTTCGGGAATAAGATCAGGTGCAAGGTGACACCACAACAGACATACGAATAAGACATGTTCTTAAAGGGACGACTCTGGGAATAACACAGATCGATGTAGCCTTCATTGAAAGGAGATCCAAACTTGGAAGGTGAGGTGTCAAGTCTATAATAAGGATCCTACTATTTAGGGTTCTATATTAGAGTCCCCTATTTTCGGAAACCCCCATTTTCTGGTCCTGCTTCGATGGTGGTGCCAGATTCGTCGCGGAAGCTCAGGGTGAGAAGAGACTCGACCTCCGCATTGCTTTTTTGCGCCAGCTCGGCCGAATTGTTCGCCTTCAGCTTGCTGGAACTCAACACCACCAGGTCTGAGCCTGTGGCCTCTGCGACTTTTTGCAAGGCATTTCCTGTCACTGCCACTGTACCGCCACTTTCGCTTGGAATCGAAACGGTGGTGTTTTTTGCAACTCGCTTCGGATCCAGTACCGTGACTTGCAAAACTTCACCGCCTGATGTGTTGATGGGAAGCGTTGCAAGGATTGATGCTGACCCATCAGATCCACTGGAGTTGCTGTCAATGCTAACGTTGCTGGCGTTGCTGTCGTTGGTGGCATTCCCGACATCGGAGTCGGGATTGCCGGGCACGACGATGTTGTTCAAGAGGCTGCCAAGCACCGATTTCACTTCCTGCGTCTCCGTCTCGTCCAATGCACCAGTGATTGCCACGAAGTTTATCGTGGTGGTAGTGGTGGTGGTGCGCGAGGGAATCAAGAGGTCGGGTTGGAATTCTCCTTGCGGGCACAACTGCATCGAGTCTGGATGAGTTTGGAAGGTCTAGCGGCTAGCGCTTTTCTGGCGTCTCCTAAAAATGGAAACCCACAAAAGCGGGTCCGTTCACTGTTCCACCATGAAAGGAAAAAGCACACTACAAACCAGTCGCTACTCAGAATTTCTGATCCCAAGCCCCCACCAAGAGCCCCTCTGCAAGCTGAGCTCAGGCAAGCTGCTCATGAAGTACCACATGCGGCGAGCCTGCCCTGCCGTGAATGAGCAGCGACATGCATCATCGGAGAGGTCCATGTAATTGTGCACTGGGTCCCCAGAGCCACAGCTCTGTCGCGAGGAACTGCAGTTTCCCAAGTTGGGAGATTCCTCCAAGGCCGTGTCATTGACGAAATCTCCTTCAACTGTCTGGTCGCAGCCTTTCTCAAATGTGTTTCGGAGACCCAGGTAGTGGCCCATCATGCGGGTGAGCGTCTTTCCCTGATTGTAAGCCGAAAGGTTCCCTCCTGTAAGGGCCCCAGGATCTACAGCCACGGCACGATAGTCATCATTGAAGCCTAGTTCATGGTCGGGATAAGAAACTTATATCCCTTATTTATTGGGTTTAAATACCCTTAAAGATGTAAAATTTTACCCAACTATGGCACAGGAGCTGGGTCGGTTGGCATAGGGCGAACCAGGGAGCCCGGCCAGTCCCAGGAATCCCCTGGCCTCGAGCGGACAAATCACCACCTGGGTGGTTCTCAAGATTCTGGCCCTTTGGATTTTGGGGGGGTACCCTACGGTTAGGGTTTAGGGAATCTGATTTTGGTGGTGTTTCTTTTTCAAGGATGGCGCTCTTGTTTTATACGTTTGGGATTTAGGGGTTTTGAGTCTGAGACAGTGGAGGGTTCCGGGGTACCCTACGGTTTAGGGCTTAGGGAATATTAGGGCACCCTAGGGTTTCGGGAATATTTGGGTCCCCTGCGGTTTACGCTCTCGCAACTCGGACAAGCCAGACGAGGTTCTTGGTGCGCCTCGGTGCTACTGTTAGCTTCGCTCAAGCCTCCACGAAAACACCAGAACATAAGTGTTAAGACCACAAAGGACAGGCTCCGAGCTTCGCTAACCACAGGTCGTACTACTGTCAGCGTCAACAAGCCTCCATCGAGCAAACAGCGCAACACAAGGTAAAGCCACGAAGTTCTGACTTGTATCTTCGCCGACAAAAGGGTCCCCTGGACGTATACCAGCAGGAAGAACATGACTACGGTACAGTACGGGCACCTAGTACCTTCGAAAACAGCTAAACACAAGGTAAGGCCACTCACTACACCAGGTGCCCTCATTCAGTGACACTTTGACCACACTCTCAGCAGTCAACCCTCAACCCTAAGCCTACACACCTCAGGCCAAGGACAGAAGTAGACAGAACTGGTGAAACATCGGGTCTTATTCATCAGCACTCTCAGTGTCGCTCGAGGAGGGGCAGAAGCGCTGAAACACACGTCTGCGCTTTGAAGGCTTGGTCTCACTGCAGCTGTCACCACAACGACCGCATGGCCCCTTGACTTCCGGCGTGGTATAGGCGTCAAAAGCATACATGGAGTCCTGTCTCTCCACAGCCATCACCACAGCGACCGCATAGACCGGCCTTTTCGGTGGGCCCGACAGCACTGACAAAGGGAGCCCACCCATCTACTGAGGGCAGTCTCTCAAGCACCTCTGGACTTCCTCTGTGTGAGGTTCTCGGCTGTTGGTCAGAGGGAGATGCAGGTACCCGCCGAATTGAGGGCCCCTATCACGGTCTGCATGACGGGTAGGTATTCAGCCCTCGTGTTTGTCATGCACTGTCACAGGAAACCCACGGTGGTCGTCGTCTTTCACAGTCGGAGCCGGGTGGCCGGGAGTTTCAATCCAAAGGTGCAGACTGGTCAGCTGTAAGACTGCAGGCTTTCTCGATTGCCAGTGGTGCGCAGAACCAGCTAGTCCAGCCATGGCTGCCGCAGGGTCGCGGGTTCGTGGTTTGTTAGGGGAACTATTTGAAATGAATAATCTCAATCGGGATGATCAAGGTTGGGGGTGTTGTTCGGGGGAGTCAGACCGGACACGAGTACCATCGCATGCATCATCATCTCCATCCTCATGCATCATGCAACATGCAAGAAACAGTCCAGCAAAGGAAACAAATTCAGGCATGCAAACAGTCCAGCAAAGGCAGTGCGATGAAAGGAAAAACAGAGTCGCAGCAAGGGGCAGGTTGGGTACTGGGTGGGTCGTAGACACAATGGCTGATGTGGACCGAGCAAGCAGGCAGGACGACGGGGAAAGAACAGACAGGGCAGAAAGGGAGGACGGGACTGGGAGAATGACAGATGGGCGACTTGTCAGCTACCGTGCATATTGCACGCACGGTGGCGGGCGATGCCTTAGTCATGCGTCCTCGTCGGTGTCGTCCCGAACCTCAATGACATCCTGAGCGTTTGCCCGACGGGGGCTGAGTGCTAGCACCTGTCGCAGTGTGAACTGTCGTAGACGGGGTGGGTCGTTACCTTGCTCTCCGTGTGTGCTCGCGAAGAACAAGCTGCGGCTGGGCATGTGAAAACCGAGCTGAAGCAGCTGTTCTTTGACGTCGGCTTCTAAGGTAGTCGAGCCTAGGGTACAAAAGGCTACGAGAACTACACGATGTGCTGCTGTTTCAAGGTCGGGAACATGACCAGCATGAAGGACTTTCCTAGCATTGAACGTAAACGGTTTCGTAAGGTTAACGACTGTCCCTACAACATCACGGCCCTGGTACTGCTTATACTCTCTCCCAACTCTATCTGCAATCCAAAGGCCTTCACCCTCGCGACATTCCGTAAGCGACACAATCCAAGAGTTCAGGGGCCCGTTACGTATGTCACGGTGAACCTTGTTAGTGCAGCCTTTACGGAGGACCCAAGTGCTATAAGGGTGCATGGGGGGTGAGAGTGCGAATGTAGCGATTAACCAACATGGTCATATAGGGCATTTCAACACTAAAGTTGAGGACGTGTTCTCGGGATCGCGGGCTGGCCCCACTAACCAAGTAGTACACTCCGGCTCCTCCACGTTTCATGAAGTTACGGGGATACTGGTTGATTAGTGATAGGACATCCTGTTTGGTGGGGGGCTGGATTCTGTTGAGAAGCCTCACTGCGCTATACTCGATGCTCCGCAGGAGCGGGTCCTCGATAAACCCCCAGGAGGGGAGTCTCGGTCCTAACTCCGGCGGGGAGTCACTCGCGATCACGGTGCATTCACCGGTGACAGCAACCTGAGACTCTGCTGGCTCCTCCAGGTCAATGCGAGCACTAGGCAGGGGGGTTGCGAGGTCACACCCAACGCTATTGAAAGCCTCAGTAATCAGGTCATGTACCTGAGTGATGGTCCTCAGTGCGCACGAAAAAGTCATGTCTACACGTCCCTTCTGCTCCCGCTTTGAACCTCACTCTCGGATGGGAAATGTTGTGGCCTGGAACAGCACAATCTCCCAACATGGTAAGTGCAGCCCAAAGTGCTCCCAAACCAAAGCTTCCGCAGTGCACTCAAAACGGTGTGTCCACTCTCGAACTTGCCAGTCAGCATACGCCCTGTCTTCATCATCAATCTCAGGAGGAGGTAGGTCTGGGTCTACGGGATCAAGTATGTTTACTGCTAGGCACAGCTCGGCAATATAGTCATCCAAGAGCGGACAACGATGCACGAACCAGATCCAAGCTTCCCTCGACATCAGAAAGTACGTGCGCAGTTCAGACACTATCAGACTGACCACAGCTTCCGGTGGCGTGGTGAGGCAATCATGTACCTCTTGAGGATCGAGGGGGCTGATGGGGAGGAGGTGGGGAGGCTGCACAACATCGAGACGGAAGGTTGACCGGGAGGACGAAGTTTCTGTCGACATTGACACCACCGACTACAGCCTCTCTTTGCTCAGGAGCAGAGAACTACCGGTTACATGCGCTGGAGCGGATTCCCATCTCAGCCTACACAAATCGCACGTCTGGTATGCTTCTACCCCAGCTTGCAGATCTGTTTTGCCCATGGCCGCAGTCCACCGATTGAATTCACGAAAAGGCTGTACTTGGCAAGGAAAGCGATTATCCAGTGCGAGCTATAGGTGTACATCGCAGAGGAAGGTGGAGTTTAGGGAAGGTTGCTCAACAGAACGCACAAACCACGATAACCACGCATGATAACTATGCATACAACAATCACAACTACAGTTCGCAGGTTGCAAGGCACAAATTCGACAGTACAGTGCAGTCAGTACGCAAGGAGGCATGCAAAGTAGCAGCAGCAAGGGCATGCAAAGGAGCACAGTGCGAGGCAGTCGGCAGCACCTGAAGGAAACATGCTCAAGGCCTAAAGACCCAAAATGATAGAAGCATGTAGTGCCAGGCCGAAAAAGTCGCACTGAGCTCGGAGCGATGCTCTGTTGGCATCCATGGGTCAGCTGTTCAGCGGGATGCTGATCTGACTTACACTAGCCCCTCTGATCGTGATGTGGCTGTTCGAGCCACTCGCCTCCGAGGGCAAAGCTTGCTGGAGGTTAATCCTCGCAGGAGCGGTGGGGTCGTGCAACGGTGGACGCCCGTGGTCCTGCATTGGGCCCGTGGGTATCACAGGCCGATACGATGGCGGCGCCGGGACCGTAGTCTGTACAGGCCTCTCACCCACCTTCGCCACCATGCTTCCAACGATCTTTTCAAGACCGTCGAGAGACGCCACTCAGCTGGGTCTGCATCGTAGAGGTAGCATGCTTGGCTTCCAGGGCTTGGGCATCAATGCTCTTGCGTAGCATCTGTGTCTCACCGGCCACCTTCTGAATCTCTGCCAGCATCCGTGCCGCCGTGACCCCCTGCGCTGCAGGTGCTCCTGTGGCTTCGGGCGGTGCGGTGGTACTGACAGTCTGCTTCGGTGCCAGGGAAGTAGGTGGTCCTGACGGAGCTGGCAGGGGAGCAGAGTCGGGGCTCTTCTTGTCATCAATCTTCTTCGTCGCAACTTTGGCATCGTCCTTTGGCGGCCCTGCCTCACCAGCAGGCTTGACTGGCGTAGCTGAAGCGATTCCAGCATCCACAGTCGACGAGCCTGCTGTCGCCTGTGCTGGGCTCGGGGCAGTTGCCGGCGCATGTGACTTCGCGGCCTCGGCAGTGTCGGCACTCGCGTCACTTGGGGAAGACAGACTTGGTGGGGCTGCCGTTGTTGTAACCCCGTGGCGGCCACGTGCCCATGCACTCGCTCGATGCCATAGCCCCGACACCGCCTTGAAAAGGAGGATAATCACGAGGGCTACGACGATCCCTTCCGAGCGGTCCATAATGTGCCCCCATAATGTTGCATAGACCGGGCTCGCATCCGGTTCCAAAGTGTGGTGGACATACACCACATCCGGCTCCCCTGGAGCGTTCATGGGTCCCACAAACACAGGCTCAGGACGCTGACGTGGACGTCCTTCCATGGCTGCGCGCGGGCTAGTGGTTGTTAGCTAGACTCTCGAGAGGTCTCGCTGCTGCAAGGTCTCGCGATCACCACTCTCCTACCGCAATTTACTGACCGCCCTGCCCCCCCCTTTTGTGACTGTGCATACACATGTGACTGTGAAGAAGACAAGGCGCAGAATTACAGCTTGCTCTGTTACAACTGGCGCAAAAAGGAAGAATCCCTGAAAAAGCGTGCCGACGTGAAACATGAGGTCCTGAGGAGAAAGTTGTGTCCTTGCGGGAAGGGTCCGATGGGCTGCGAAAGACTACTGGCAAGCCATTCAGGTGACTTCTTCGGTTGCAGAAAGCAGTAACTCAAAAATCAAAGGCTGTTTCACGGCTGGCCAGAGCCTGAACCTCGAAAAGAAGTGCCAGAGGAACCCTGTGGGCCCACATTTGGGCACCAAAGGCTGAGGCTGGCAGAAAGCAGGCCCCTTTAGTGTCCTGAAGCTGGGGCAGATGCTGATATAACTGAGCCAGGGTCTGCAACAAAAGAATGCGCAACCTCAGCAGATCGCCGTCGGCACTGCCCTGTATCCAAACTGCCTCCTTTTTCAAAGAGTCAGGTGGCCGGAGTAGCAAGCCAAAGGATTGGGTATCACGACCCACACCATCCACTGCTGCCTACGCGGGACCCCAACTTGCACATGCTGGAATTCCCGACTATACGGCTCCTCGGGGAAAACACGCGCTGGTCTGAGTGCCGCACATTTGTCCCCGACCAAAAGCAGCTGACGGTCGTGTAGGTAATTAGGGGGAAGGTCAACGCCCGTATTCAGATACCCCCACTTCTTTAGCCATAGAGGAAGAGCGTCCTGCCAGGATTTCCGGTCCAAGGCTACCGCCTCGACAAAGGGGTAGCGACTGGTGGCGGGCCGGTGCTTAGCCCAGAACAACTGCAACAAACGTGGTATGAACTCCTGCACAACATGTCGCGGCACATGAATACGTCCTACCGCAGAAGTGCTGCAGGCTTGCATCATACGGTGCAATGGCAGTCCAAGCCGCGACCTTAGTGCATGGCCCCAGAAGGACCACATTTGGCGTAGCCACAAGGTGCCCCATCGTGGGCATCCCAGTGCATGACAGAGTACCTTGACCGGCCTTCGACGGCTGATGATGTTCGAGAGAAAGGGGAGTAGCGGATCAATATCGAGCTTCAAGAGAGAGAGAGAAGAAGAGTATGTTTGAAACTTTCCAAGCTGCGCAGTGCCTTTTGTGTGGGCCATACCGCCGGTGCACACCATGTCCATTTGGATGCAACATACGAACGAAAAAGCTCCAACTTTTCACGAACTGGAGTGTCTGGATGATCGAAGAGCTTACGTAGAGCAAAGAATGAAGCCGAGACCTTCGCCATACTGAGTCCCAGCTGTCCCATAGGACTCTGACTATGTGCTAGGGGAACGCCAAGATATACCAGGTCCTGCACGACCTTCAGTGGTTGAGGGGAACCAAGGGGCCAGACCCCTGGTTGTTCTCCGTCTTCACCTTCAAGAATCGCACACTTCTCTAGGCTGATACGGAGCCCAATCGCCGACAGTACTCTTTGGAGGTCATGCAATTTACGCTGAAGATCCCTTGCCGAATCCCCAAAAAGCAGAATATCGTCTGCATACAGAAGCAAGTGAGGCAGGGAGAAGTGCCGGAAGGGTCGTCCATTGGGCCACTGCATCCGCCAGGAAAAAATCTAGGGTACGTGCAAACAGGTCTGCACTGAAGGCAGTCCCCTGAAGAGTGCCGCGCTGCACCTCTTGGCTCCATGCCTGGGCCCCCAGCTGGAGAAGAACCGAGGCGTCGGTGCACATGTTCCATAGTGTCCACGCTTCTCTGCAAGGCTCGGCACTACGAAGAAAACGCCATATGGCCTGATGACTAAGCGTGTCGAAGGCTTGTGCTATGTCCAACTTCAACACGTGTAACCCCCGGTGCTGGGCCCTCTTGTAGAGACGTAAAGCAGACTGGGCGCAGGCCTCGATGACTTGCGTGCCTTGTCGACACGCATGTTGCCCAGAGCGATACGGGGGCAGTTTCGCCCGCAGTCGAGACATCAAAATCTTCGAAAAGACTTTGGAGAGGCAGGGTGTGAGTGCTATAGGGCGGAGGTCTCCCGGTTTAGCGGGTTTCGGGACTTTCGGGATGAAGCACACCTTAGCAACTTTCCAGGAGGCCGGGATCGGAACCTGTCCCGAAAGCACCTTGTTGAAGAAGCCACATAGTTTGTTTTCTGTGTCCTGTGCAAAAAAGCCTTTAATGGCCCCATAGCACACAGAGTCTGGGCCCGAGGACGTATTAGGTTTAACACTGCCTAGAGCCTGATTAACCTCTTCAGCAGTAATGGGCTGAAAGGGGGCTGCTCTCTCACCGTAATGGTGTACCCGGAGGTCCTCAGTCTGGGCGGTCGAAACAGCTCTATCATCGGGTCCTCGTTCATACTTCCGACGATAAAAGTCCTGCATCTGAAGCACTGCCTGTTCCTGTCCCCCCAGCCTTTCAATAAACCTCCCGTCTGAGTGAGTCTGGGACGCACTACGCTTGAGATGGGAAATAGCCCCTCTATCCCCCTGTCGTGCCGAGGCGAGGAGGTCGAGCTTATGTTGCTTCTGCGCCTGTGTACGAGAGGCTGCGATGGCAGCCACCAGCTCCTTCCGTTCCTGAGGGTCCTGGCAAACTCGTCGTTGTCGGAGCAGTTCCTTCACTTCGGGTGGGTCCTGGTACTTACGCGAAGGGAGCCTGACCCCGAACTCCTGGCACAGTAGACGCATGTTGTCCTGCGAAAACGTAAAGGAAGGCAGTTGAGCGGCCTCCCTCAGAACTGCTTCGGGCACATGCCATCGTCCACACCCGTTTTTCGGGCGAGGAGGCCGGTTGGTCAGACCGAGTCGGCCCGTGAATGAGGCTATGACGGGGTTGTGGTCTGAGGGCAGCGCCTGCCTCAGGTCTGGCCTCAACCAGAATTGCTGTTCCGTCATGGGCCACCGGTAAAGGACCCAGTCTATGCAGCTCTCCTCTGTCTGATAAACGACCGCAAGATAAGACTGACCCGATATGCAGAGGGTCTCCGTCTTGGTCTCCCCTTTGGGGAGGTGAGAGAAACCTCCAACTTCCTGCAGGCTGAGGAAATCCCATGGGTCCTCGGTACGGTCCACCAGGGACCGAAGAGCGTTTAAGTGCTTCCCATGCAGATTCCATGTTAGCGTTCTGAATTCAACAAGTGCATGTCGACGGCGTTTGGTGGGGGGCCTATGGACCTGCAGTCACTCGGTGAGCTCACGAATGACCTCATCTTGCGACTTGGACAAGACCCTGGACAGCACCTTGACATCGACCCACCAGCCCGATTCATCACCTCGGGAATCGTTGAGCATGAGGGAATCGTCAGTGGGTCGTCGGGTGCCCGCGAAGAACAAGACCTGCTCACTACGCACCCAAAGTTTTCGCCGCCAGTCGAGGTCCACGAACATGGCCGGCAGAGACTTGAGGCAATACTCTTTAATGCCTACCAGGGCACGCACTTTAGCCCTCTCCTCTTTGGACCTGTTTCGTGCGACCCACAAGCGTGAGGAAGACTGTTGCGAAATCTTGCTGTAGGGTTCTTTCTGCAGATACTTCTTGATCCCTTCCAGAACGAGGGACTGAACCTTTCGCTTGGCTGCAAGACTTGTCTCAGAAAACAACAGCTCCACCCGAGCGAAATTACTTCTCACGAATGGGATGTGAATGTCGCGGCAGAGGGGAACTGCCTGGATCTCCTGAAAGATATGGCGCACTTCTTCCTCAATGTCGCCCTTCTTGGCTTGGGCCCACCCGCCCAGAACCAATTGTAGGTCGTCGACTATGGGCCCTCGATTTACGGTGGAGGCTGTTGTGCTGCGGGGGCTGTAGTCTCCTTGCTGATGCGGGAGCCGGCTAGGCCCTGGGCTCACTGACCTCGCCGCTCGCAAATCTTGCATTTCCCGCTCCATTGCATCCAAACGCGACTGAAAGGTGCCCTGCTGCTGTGCAAGAACGTTGACTTGCTCCGATACTTTGGCTACGTGTTGCCCTTGCGATCGAATCTCCGCCTTCATTTCTGACTGCCCTCCTTTAAACAAATCCCTGAGTTCCTGAACCCAAACCGGAGCCACATCCAGATGAAAGTATTGCGGTCCTCCTGCCCCATTGACCCCTGTCGGGACAGGGGGTGGAGCGTCCGTGGGCAGTCCTGGAGGAGTGCCCGGCATGGCTGTCGGTGGCGGATGTCCTGCATGACTGGCTGAACTTCCTCCGAGCAATGGTGGGGGGTGAAGTCCTGGCACAGCTTGCGAGGCCTGCTTATGAGGGGTGCCTGTTTTCTGTCGCTTCTCAGGGCTCGTAGGCTTCTTCTCTTTGGCTTTCGGGGTCGGAGTACGTCGAGGAGTGACCTGCGGAGGCCCCATTGCGGCACTTTGATACGGGTTGGTATTAGGGGGGTCTACCGAAGGCCTGAGGGCTGCTTGGAGGGCCGCTGCAGCATCGGCAGCGTCTCGCAGAGCACTCTGCCTAGCTTTCTCGTCCGATGCCCGAATGACAGCAGCAGCAGAAGGCAGTTCAGGTCTATCTGGGCGGCTTAGGGGGCTTTCATCGTCATCATCTTCAGCCGTCCGGACAGAAGCGGCATCACCCATATCCCGGTCTGACTCCCCGTCGCGACTCATGTCGCCGAAGAAAGAAGAACAGGAGAAGAAGGAGGGGGAGAGAACGTCCTGTGCACCTGGCAGAGCCTTGAGCCAAAATGGCTTGAGCCAAAATGGCTTGAGCCGTAGCCAAGGTACCCTACGGTTTAGGGTTTAGGGAATATTCGGGTACCCTACGGTTTAGGGTTTAGGGTTTAGGAAATATTAGGGTGCCGTATTATAATAAGGACCCAAAAAGGGATCCTAATTTTGACAACGACCCACCTTGATCTTTCCATTTTCCCGTGACAGCGGCTTGCCTGGCTAAGCACAACGTAGGCACAAGCTCACTGTCTGCTGTTGCTTAAACCGTTTATGGCACTAGACCCTAAACCTAAACCCTAAACCCCTTTTTCCTAAACCCTAAACCCCTAAACCCTAAACCGCTCTTAGGATCTACACTGACTTGCTCTCGTCACGGGAGCTTCAGCTAAACCAAGAACGCGACTCAACCCGAGATCTCCACAAGGGCCGCCTGGAATCTGGGTGATCACATTGGACCTCCGTCGTCCACAAGACTTTGAGGGTCAGAGTCATCGAGGCAAGGTGGGTTTAGGGTTATTATTGTTTTACTATATTATGATATTTGTATATTGCTATATTACTATATTATGATATCAGAATCATGGAGGCAAGGTGGGTTTAGGGCTGAGGGCCAGCAGTGCTACAGGCTTCTGGTTCAACGCACGTGCACTGAAAAACAATGAAGCCGTGCAATCCCACCAAGACCCCTCAAGATGTTGCACATTCATGTGAAGCCCTGTAGTGTACCGAGCGGCACAGAGTACAGAACTCTCACCCTACTACGGTCCGACGGAAAGTAAATTGAGCATGGACAGGGTTAAGTCCTTCGGACTCCCTCGTTCGAACAAAATGCACCACCAAGGCACAGAGTGGGGTTATCGCGAATTTTTTTCGCTCCACATGCGGAGCACTGACTGTCCACGATGGTGGTGATGCCCTCCAACCAGAACTGGACTTGAACGTCGGCCTGTGCCACCTTGCCAAGTCCATTTTGTTAGGAGGCACCCCATAGACATGATCTCTGATGCCGGCACCCTCCATATTCCTCAGAAAGGAAGCCTGTATCAACTTTTCGGCCCCTCCCCGAGTCCCTAGCAGCTTGAGCACCTCGTAGAGCGGGTCGAGCTGGCAAACTTCTTGACCACTGAAGTCTCGGTTGAGCTGGCGAATCTGATCTTGCAGCATCTGAGAAGTCACCTCGACTTGAAGGACAGGAAGGCTGCGAAAGCAAAGTCACAAAAGAGTTGCAAACCAGTACTCAGCACAGTCTGGGCCGCTTGGCTGGAAACATTTACTCCACCATTCGTGGGATCGTCGCAGAAGTAGAAGTTGATGGGGATCGTCCAGGCAAAACCAGCTGGAGCGCTGGTTGCATCTGGAACAATGGACTCCACCTTCTGGCACTCCTCATAATTGACGAAGCACTTGATCAACTATTGCGGGGTCGGGGGGCTGCGGAAAGCAGGAAGGCAGAGACTCCAATACCCCTTAATTAAGGAATATACCTTAAATTATAGTAGGATCCCTAATATGATTTAAGGAATATGCCTTAATTAAGGGGTATTGGAGTCTCTGGGAAGGCAATTGCATGATCGAATGTCCCTCTCCTCGAAGGAAAAAATGAAGTCCGATTCTTTGCGACCGCATTCTGCATGGCAAGCATTGAACCTGGATAATGGTTGCAGAACGGCAATCAAGACCGTTCCTGAGTAGATGCATCTGATATAGCCCTGATATAAGGAAACTGCCATGCAGGCATTGAAGCTGGAGCAGCAGGGATATTTGGGATCCCATGTTAAAAACTCTGAAAGTGTTCTATTCTTAGGCAGCATGTTTATCTCTAGTCACTTTTGAGGGCTCTTGCTCTTTCCCCTGCACTGGCTTTTGCTCCCTCTCTTGCCACGTCTGTTGCTCTCGCTCCTCCTCTTGCTGTGGCTCCTGCTCTTCCTCCTGCTTTTGCTCTTACTCTTGCTCTTGTTGTGCTCTATCTCCAGCTTTTGCTCTTGCCTTAGCTCTGGCTTTTGTTCTTGCTCTTACCCCTGCTCTTACGTTTGCTCTTGCTCCTGCTCCGGACTTCCTGATGCAAATTCGGTCTTAAAATGCAAGGATGATCTCGTGCTGGTGCTGGTGCTGGTGCTGGTGGTTTTGCTGCTGGTTTTGCTGCTGCTGCTGCTGCTGCTGCTGCTGCTGCTGCTGCTGCTGCTGCTGCTGCTGCTGCTTTTGCTGGTGCTGGTGCTGGTGCTGATGGGGCTGATGGTGCTGGTGGTGCTGGTGGTGCTGGTGGTGTTGGTGGTGGTGGCAGTGGTGGTAGTGGTAGGGGTCGTGGCAGTGGCAGCGGCAGTGGCAGCGGCACTGGTACTGGTAGTGGCAGTGGCAGTTGTTTTTGTCACCCACATGGCACGCCGTTGACAGCTCCGCGGGCAGTGGCAGTTGTAGTGGTAGTGGTAGCAGTAGTAGCAGCAGCAGCACTCCACAACCAAAAACACAAACTAAACCATGGAACCAGGGGTGGCAGGCTTCGCAGGTAAATTGCGACTCATCCTCGCAATTTGAACAATCGCACCTCAGCTCAGGGTAAAGCATGGCAAAAGCTCATCATTGCTATATGGATATAGACATGGAGATCAGGACATTTGACTCACTTACGAATCAACTTTGCAAGTGTCTAGTTCTTGCTTCGCAGTCAGCTTCTCTGTACGTCCGGCTACTACGCTTGTTCATACTATTCTAATGGATGGAATTCTTGGGTTGATCGAAGTTCGTTCAATCTTGAATCGATGAATGTAATGATGACTGCCAGTGCTTCTAGGATTGTTGCAAGTACCGTCAGTTTGTATTGGTCATGGCCCTGGTTAGTTTTTCCTTCCCGTCTCTCCGCAGGCAAACGAGGCTCAGAATGAATGACAGGCGATTTGTGAAGCTCAGTTACAGTAGTACTGATCTTGCTACAGTAGTACTGATCTTGTCTCTCAGCAGGAACCCTTCACTGTTGCCAATAGCCTGGGTCCTGCCCCCTATCATAAACGGTCGGCATTCCTGGATCATACTTGCTGCTCGATATGTCTGCAGTCCGGGTATCTGTGTTCGAACCATTTTTGAACCCAGACTCTGCCGATCAGCTGGGAAGCACTGCAAGACTTCAAATCACACATAGAAGTAGTAAGGTCGAAGCTCCTACAACTCGAGATTCATGCCGAGGGAGTTGGGATATGATCCACCCGTATTGGGGTCCGAAGAGACTTCGTTGGGACCGGATTACAAAGCCTCCAGGTCTGCATGTGGGAGTTTCCGAAAATAGGGGTACCTCATTTTGGGGGTCCTTACTATCAGGATCCTACTATTGAGGGTACTATATTAGGGTCCCTATTTTCGGAAACTCCCATGTAAGCTGGGTCAAAGGTGGTTAGCACAACACGGACCCTGTCACGTTTAGATTCATACCAGTGGCTTGTTGTTGTCGACCTTGCCCGCCGGGACGATGCAGCCGTCATCGCATGTGAAGTTCTGCCGGAGTAGGAAACAATCTGCCGGGCTGTCGGTGCATAAGCTCGGGCAGCCACCGCATGACTCGCAGCTTAGCCCGGGTTCGTCTTCGCACTGTTCGCAGTCGCACTTCCCATCCGACCGCCTTGAATCGTCGATGAAGCAGCCTGACAAGTAACATCTGTAACTCTGCTTCGAGACTTCCTCGCTGTCGGCAATGAGCTCCAGCTCTTCCTCTTCCTCTTGCTGCTCCGGCTTGAGATCCTTCTTCGCCTTCTTCTCCTTCTTCTCCTTCTCCCAAAGGCCTCCGATGCCGGAAGGGTTTCCGTGGCCTTCGTCTTCGCCCAGCAGGACGCCAATGGTGAAAATCTCACTCTCACCTCAGCATCAACAGAAAGAGCCCAAGAGCCCGGGCTCCCGGGCCAAAAAGGGTAAATCAACTCAGGAGAAGCTCTGAAAAGCTGCCAGGGTGCCCACATGAGTGGAGGACACCTTCTGCCAGGGCGAACACGCTGTGTCCACACGAAGGCCACCAGCACAACCTTGATAGCTGAAGCCTCTCAAGGTGGTTACGACGCCCTGAACTTCGCAGGAGTCGCGGACCTTGGGAAAGAAGAAGCCCTTCAGCAGCTTCAGAGCAAAGTCAGGGTCCATCTTCTTCTGGCCATGACTTCTCAGGAATTTGCCGAGAAGGTCGTCGGTCGGGAACGCGAAGCAGCCAGAAGCCAAGTTTGGAAAATCTCCGATCTCCGGGAGCACCCCGCAGATGTACATCACGAGGTGCTTGGAAAGCTGCATCTTGGAACTCACCATGGCGCGCGCAATGCTCTCACAGAGGTCCTGTGTCATCTGGGAGCGCTTTCCCAAAGCTTCGCGGCGGCTCGTGATCTGAAGCATGGCATTCAGATCTCTGGCTGAAGAGTTCTGGCCAAGACGTCCATGAGGATCCGCAGGGTCCTCGCATGCACCGGGTGCCGGCAGGATGACCACTAGATACCACTAAAGTAACATGAAACTTGTGCTGGCTTCGTGCTCCCAGTCTGACGCAAAAAAAAACCCTGAAGGGCAGGGTTTCAGGGCATGGCAGGGCGGCAAGGCAGGGCGGCAAGGCAGGGGAAAGACCTCCCGACGAGAGCCCCGGCCCTACGCGGAAGGCATAGGCCGTCCTAGGCCACTTGCAACAGACCGATCGTCACTTCTATACACTCTCGGCTTACGTGAAGTCTTTCTGCTCTCCGCGAGTACATCTTGGCAACTTACCAGTCTGAGTGGCCAATGCGACACAAGTTGTCGGGAGGATTTCAGGACTAGCTTCTGCAAGCAGTCTACCAGTCGTAAGCGCTCTTGTCGGCACATATTTTGGTTTGACGCAGAATGCCCGTGTCGGGGTGGCTGGACGCAATCTGCTCGCGTGAGCGTGTCGCCTTTGACATCCTGAAGAGCCTTCTCCTTCGCCCCTTATGCAGAATTGGCTTGTAATACTTCGGAGAGGTGCTGATGGGATTGCAGTGGGATTGTCCGTCATGGAGCCTGACATACTACTTTGTAACAGGGTCTTGCGAAATCCAGCTCTTACCCGCATCGGCAGACGCGTTGAAGCCGACCTCGATGTCGACGTGGATGATGCTCGTGGACATGCATCTTCAACGATTCAAAAGGATCGATTCTTGTGCCGCGATCGGGAAATCGAACGAGAATGCCCCACCCCACGGAGATGGCAGTGAGTCTCCGCATTCTGCGCCGCTGCATTCCTCGCGCTCCCGTTCGGGGCATCTTGCAATTAGGACGAGTCATCATCCTAAGACGAGTCTTGCGATTGAGGACCCAGCACCAACACAGACGGAGAAGAAAGCTTCCGCTTCGAGCTTGCTCCAGATATTTCAATAAAGATGATGAAACCCCGAAGCCGGAAGATTGTCGTCCATTTTGCGAGGCGGTCTCGAACGTAGTTGGTCCCAGAGTGCTGCTCGTCATCACTTTTACTTTTGACAAGCAGGGCAGATTACTGCTTGAGAGGACTGTCGGCATTTCGGTGCGACAACTCCGAATTCAACGAAACAGGCCGTCAAACACGAGATATTCGTCGCTGTCGGAAAAAATGCCACCCCAGCTGAACCAAAAACAACATATGGATGGTTGTCAAAATCATGGTCGTTGGGTACCCACAATACTAGGTGCCGTACTATAATAGGGACCCAAAAAGGGACCGCAATTCTGACAACCACCCATATCGAACATACTTACAGGATCATGGGACTTGGTAACTAGGGTCATAATTAGGGTGACTGTACTTGTATCTACTTATAATGCCATAATTCTGACAACCACCCATGTCTCTGAACCAAACCCTAAACCCTAAACCCTAAAACCTGAACCCTAAACCCTAAACCCTTAAACCTGGCCTTGTGGTTCCGCAGTGATGGGCACATGCCATCCTGAGGCCCCCGGGCTTCGTTTGAGGCTGAGGGTCACAGGCGCTACAGAGATCACGGTTTAGTGTGTGCTTTTTTTTATAAGGTTTAGGGTTCAGGGTTTAGGGTTTAGGGTTTAGGGTTCAGGGTTTAGGGTTTAGGGTTCAGGGTTCAGGGTTTAGGGTTTAGGGTTTAGGGTTCAGGGTTTAGGGTCCCACATGGGGGTTGCCGAAAGTAAGGGGTACCTCATTTTGGGACCCTTACAATAAGGATCCTACTATTTAGGGTGTTATATTAGGGTCCCCTATTTTCGGAAACTCTCACATCATACGATCTTGTACGATCCCCAACGTAGCCTCTCCCAGCTCCCGTCCAACATGAAGCCCAAGGAAGGCCAAGTGATTCGAGGATCACTTGGGCTTCTTGCGGAGCGTTGGGGAAAGCACAATAGCCGAGCCTTTGGCCCTATGAACACGTGGGGCTGTTTAAGCCCGAAGCCCTCGACCGCTTGAGGCAAAGGCTCACAGGTTAGGGCTTCATGTGGGTGGTTGTCAAAATTATGGTCCCTTTTCGGGTCCCTATTATAATACGGCACCCAATCCTCATGGGGTACCCAAAGAGGGACCATAATTTTGACAACCATCCATGTTGAGGCACGGGACGTGGCAATGATGACAGTGCAAGGCAGAGGAATATTATGAATCGATACGAAAGAACGTGACAAGGCCTTGACACTGAAGGTCTCTGTCTGTGAATCGGCTAATCTCTAGGGTGTTGCAGCATCTCAGCTAGGCTCCAAGTGCTACTGACTGCTACTGTACCACAGGAGCAACGGACAAAATTGCGCGCTCGGCAACATGGCCAGAAAAGAGTGATGTGATGCACAACGTCCACAGAAACGTTTAGGTTTCAGGGTTTTGGGTTTACTGGAAGCGAAACCCACGACATTCCACGGAAAACAAAAGCTTGCTTCTGCTGAGAGGTCCTCAACCAAAAACCATGGGCCAAGACCCGAAACCCGAAACCCTCGTAAACTAAAAACCTTCGTATACTCTAAGCCCCCTGTAAACCCTGAGAAAGATTTTGCGAACTCCAAGCCCTGGCCAAAAGGGCTAGGTGTTTTTCTTATGCCGACGGTTTCTCCCCTTATGCGACCGGCTTTTCCTTATGCTGACGGTTTCCACCCTTATGCTCATCTGGCTTCTTCTTCCTCTTCTTATGCTCATCTGGCTTTTTCTTATGCGAACCTGGCCTTTCCTTATGCTGTCTGCTCCCCCCCCCCCCCTGCCCCCCCCAAAGCAGCTTTTGGTGTGGTGAAAGCCGCGAAAATGGACCCAAAACACCTATTTTCTCATTTTTTTACTACTGCCGGCCGGCCTAAGCATTTTTTCCACAGAACGCGGGGTTCACACAGTCAAAACACGAAAAAAAAAAAACACAATGGAATCTGCGAAACCTGATTTTGCGCTTCTGGCAGGGAAAATGCAGGTTTTGCTCGTCGCGCTGCCCCCTTTCGGCCATGACATGTCGTTCCTCAAGACCCTCCGACTGCAGCCTCAAGGGCAAAATCCGAAGCCGAAAATTAAAAGTGCCATAAAGCTATCTTCAAAACTTGCTCCGCCTGTGCCGTGCCTACATAAAACCTAGGTTTTCGCCCTGCACGCAAAACCCCGCAAAACCCTGAACACGCCCCAAAAACAAGCAGATAATCAAAATACGAAAGAACACAATGGAATCTGCGAAACCTGATTTTGAACTCCTGCCCTTTTGGCAGGGAATGAAAGTTTTTGCTCGTCGCGCTGCCCCCCTTTGGGCCGTTCCTCAAGACCCTTCGACTGCAACCTCAAGGGCAAAATCCGAAGCCGAAAATTAAAAGTGCAATAAAGCTACCTTCAAAAATTGCTCCGCCTGTGCCGTATCTTTCTAAAATCTAGGTTTTCGCCCTGCACGCAAAGCCCTGAACACCCCCCAAACACAAGCAGGTAATCAAAATGTGCAAAACCACTATGCAATCTGCGAAACCTGATTTGAACTTCTGCATTTTTGCTGTGAAAATGGAGGTTTTGCTCGTCGCGTCGGGGCTGACGTGTCACTTGTGAAACCCTGCGACTACAGCCATAAAGGCAAAGTTCCGGGGAGGGGAGGGGGGAGGAGAGGGGGGGAGGGGAGGGGAGGGGAGGGGAGGGGAGGGGAGGGGAGGGGAGGGGAGGGGAATCCAGCAAACAGAAAACCACTCCCACAACGCCTGAAACCATGGCCCCGGCATGGCTTGACGGGCGTGAAGGGGAAGCCCGAAAAAAATAGCATAAGAAAAAACCCTCAGCATAAAAATAAATGCCCAACCCCTGGCAAAAAATGCATCTTAAGTCTCGGAAAGCCCCAGTAACCCCAGTACTTCTCGAAGAACCCGAAACTCACTTAGTCGCTTTCCTCGGAATCCAGGCCATTGAGGCGGACGAGTGCAGCCAGCAGGGCCTAGCTGCGTGGAGCTGAGCTCCGCTGCGTTGTAGCAGGCTTTGGGTTTAGGGGTTCAGGGTTTACGCTCTCGCAACTCGGACACTGCCAGGGTTCAGGGTTTCCAGAGCTTAAGCCCTCTCGGCAGGTCCCAATCCTGGGGATCGAGTTTTGCAAAGGAGACCCTACTTCTCATCTTGGAAACTACCATATGTCGGAGGCCTCAGAAGGTGGGATGAAGGTAGGTAGGATTAAGGATCCCTTATATCAGGACGCTTATTTGGGAATATCCCGCCTACCTTCATCCCACCTTTTGAGGCCTCATATGATCCTTCCCGCAGCTGCTGTTGCCATCTGTTGCCTGTTCCCATCCATCACATGATGCTCTTCTGATTTCGGACAAACAGGGAAGGCCCCATGAGCGGCAAAGGAATCTGAGGACGCGACAAGCACTCTGCATATCATGCCCCGAGCCATGAAAGCAGGACCCAATTGCTTGGTTCGAGATTTATTTGGGCCGTTGCCAGTTTAGTTTACCAATTTGAATAATTTGCTTGGCAGGTAAGGAGAGGGCAGAGTAGGTAAGACTGGATCGCGGCCATCTGGGCTCAAGCAACACACGTCTGGATCAGAAGCGGCCAAGAATATAAGCCTACCCCAACCACTCAGCCAGCACCAAATCAAAGGTGCCGGAAAAGAAGAACCGTAGGGCAGGCCACTCTCGCCATATGTTCTAGATATATCTTCTATTATCAGTGCATAACGCCTTCGGAGGGAGCCCAAGCTCGCCGAAATCCTGTTGAATTGAAGCAAACGAACTGATCTACCGCTCTGTAAAGAGATTCTGCATGGAACAAAACCTTACTATAGAGGCCTCAATGATTAGAATAGGGCTTTGGGGCCCATTATACAATAACTACAAAATTAAGGAACCCCCAAATAGTATTGGTAGTTATTCAGGCCCCTATAGTAGCATTTCTGGTGCTTTTTTCCTCCACGAGCTCCCGCCAGTCCCCTGAGGACATAAACTTGCAAGCGGCGTTTGCGCTTCCAAACTACAGTTGATGATGAAAATCCAAGTACCTTATAAGGGCCCTAAACTATGGGAATTATGGTATCGTCCCTATTTTGGGTAATGCCGGATTTATATCATCAACCGCATCACTAATTAGATCCTGAGCTCTCCCCTGAACGCCAAGCCCACACTCCTGAACCAAAGCATGCTGGAAACTGAAACCCCACCCCGCACTGATTGATATCTGGTATTCGTGCTACACGTCTGAATCCTTCTTGTCAGTGCCCATTGTCTACATATTAGGAACTTCCGGAGAATAGGGATCCCTTCATTGGGTGGTTTCTTGAGATCCCCCCCCATAACCTAGCCCCTCTCCCAAGGCTGCCAGATGCCGCGGCCGTGTTTTCGTCTTCACCTGATTCGGTTGGGTTTAGGGTTTAGGGCCAGTTTGGACAAGAAAGCTACCAACAGAAGGGTGCTCTTGAAGATCCGCGCGATAACATCGCCAAGCCATATCATGCTCACCAACTGCAACTGCATTCATGCGGTGTATTCCAATAAGATCGCTCCAGCTCAACCCCATATCTAAACCCTATCAAATCCAAACCCCATATCTTGGGAACAGAAGTCCCAGTTACAGGAGTCAACAAAGCCAACCAGCATTTCATGAATGTCTGCTTGTATCCTCGAGACTAGCTGGGAGCTGTCATATGAGAGTTTCATGTGTTCTCAAGCTTCAAAGATGAGGTTTACTTCAGGCAAACTTGATTCATGAATTTTTCCCTGATGCAGTTTGTTTAGCCTTGTTTGGTGAATACACAAGATTAGTACTGCAAACAGGTGATCATGATTGATCGGTGATGGCTGGAAACAAAGGTAAGTGTATTTCTGGTGTTTCAATTATTTTGTTGAATGATATTATTTGCTTGCGTGATGATAGCATGTTTTTCTTTGCCAGCTATTCCTGTCTGATACAATAACCGTTGAAAAATCAACTATTAATTGTTAACCTCCTTCGTCTGATATGATAACCTGTTGAATATGTTCCAGACTGACTGTTGTGAATACTATTCTCGTTGATTTAAAGTTGTATATACCGTTTGTATTGCTATTTGTAACTTATCACAACTTGGACGCTCGAAATGAAATCCCAAAACTAAATTTCAAAAAAACAGTCCACTTGGACTTGACTAGGATCCTCTGCCTTCCCTAGGCCAGGCATTATGGGAGTTTCCGAAGATAGGGGACCCTAATATAGTCCCCTAAAGAGTAGGATCCTTCTTATAAGGACCCCAAAAAAGGTACCCCGAAAGTTCGGAAACTCCCTTATAGAGTCCTAGCATCCCGCCTCCGGGAGCCGTAGGCCTTGTAGTTGCGCTGGCGCTGGCGCCAGCCGTAACCATAACCACGGGGGCGGCCGGGGCGGCCGGGGCGGCGGGGGCGGCGGGGGGAGGATTGCCTGCGGCAACAGAGCTCGAAGTCCCTGAAGGACTTAAAGGAGTCTTCAAATAAAACCGCTCAACATCCAAAGCTCAAAACTTCTGCTGCGTAGTCTGGGCACGGCGGAGAAGCCCTGCGGCATGTCACGGGACAGTGTTGGTACCTCAACTCTCCATCCGACCACTGCCAGCAATCGTCCTTGGCTGCTCGCTGATCCTGTCGCACTGTGCCTGACCTCAAAAACTCCAGCAGGTTTCCAAACAACGTTGTCAAACAAGCAATATGACTAATATTTTTTCCAACCCTCTCCGACGCCCACTAAAAATGGTGTCGACAAAGTTCTTCGTCGTCGGCTTGGAGAGCACCCCCCCGAGCGATCGTCACGCTGCAGATCGAAGGGTCGCACTGCAGAGTCAGCTTGCTATCGGACAGTGACAGGCAGGCCATGAGCTCACAAGCCTCCTTACCTTGTTCATTGTTGGGATAGGATTAAACATGTACATTTTTATTCCTTGTTGAGTTTAAGTACCCATAAACATGTAAAATGTTACCCAACTATGGCAAAGTTACCAGAGTCATCTGGCGTGGAGATGTGGGGCACGGGGTCCAGAACCAGGTTGTCGCAATCAGCCGGAGGCTGCGACAGGTCACCCAGGTGACAAGCCATTCGCTTCACGGCCTCAAAAGCAACCTGCAGGGCCAGAAACGGTTTAGGGTTTAGGGTTTAGGGGTGCATGCTGGCAGCCGACGCTGCGAGTTTCGGGTCACTAACCCGCCTTCCGCTTGGAGACCTTACCTGCGATGTTGGCGTGGCTATGGAGCCAGGCCGACTCGGCTTTCTCCCAGCAGTTGTCGTGCGCCAAGCAGGTAGATGTCAAGTTCACCTGGTCTCCAAACTCCCAACCCCAACCCCGGGATCCTGAATCCTCAAGTCTGCGTCCCAGCATCCTATAACCTGCCTGCCTGGAGCTCGCAGAAATGTTTCTGGAAGCCTCCCCGCGCAGGCTCGCAGCTGCTGTTGGTGTCACTTTGCTTGCCCCTGTTCCAGGTTGCGCGCCTTAGGTGCTGTGAACGGCAATCATTGGAGTTTACAGTCGTTGGGGTGCATCGCTTGGTGTTTTGGCCTCTAAACAGGGGCTCAAGGCCGATCGCGTGAGGCTTAGATAACTGACGGCCCACTCTTTTCGCACAAGGGCAACTTGAGCCCTAGCCTTATTCGAAACTCAATCCACAGCGCTAGCAGAAGCGGTGGGGAAGCCTAGGGAACCGAAAGAGAACTGATGTCCGCACCTTCTCGCACGATGCCATGGCCATGCTTCTCCTATAGCCTCCGGCCCCTGGGATGCGACGATGGCCCAGGTCTCGCATTCCTCAAGCTTCTCCTGGGCATCTCGCAAAACTCGAGTCGGGCGTTAATCATAAGTAACAATAAAAACAATAATAGCAAGAATAAGAATAATAATACTAATAGTATTAAGAATAGCAATAGTGGCAATAATCGTAGTACTAGTAATAATAGCGGTAATATTAAGAATAATAAGTATCGTAATAATGGTAATGATAGCAATAATACGACTAATCATAATAGTAATAAAAATCATAATAGTAGTTGTAGTAACAATAGCAATACTCGGAATGTCCGTCCATAGTAATAGTAACAATAGTAGTAATTTTGGCCTCGTGTATGGCTGAAGATTCGCGATGCAAGGTGACAGATTTACAAATTTGTGAATTCTGCCTTTTTCATAGTTTTTGTTAACTCCGGCAAGCGTGGCATGGTGTCTAAAAATATAAATAACAATAATAATACGAATAATAGTAACAATAGTAATAATAGTACTAATACTAATAGTAATGATAGTAATAATTGTAAGAATAATCATAACCATAAGGAAATCCGCGGATGCTTCGGAAGTAGGTATCGCGGGCTTCAAGAGTCTAAGCCTGGAGAGGCAAGCAAACCAAAGAATGAAGCGTTCCCAAGCCTAAATAAACCCTAAAATTAATGGGGGCTCCCTCTGACCAAGTAGAGCGCCTAATAAGCTGATGGCACTTGCTTGTGCTACAGTTCGGGAAGGGGCCCTCCAGAACCCCCTCCTCGCTTTCAGAGCAGTCCGTCGAGGAACCGCCTTAGCCAAGGCAGGGGGCTGTAAGACGTTTTGACAATGGGCGGAGGGTGCAGGGTGTACGCTCTCGCAACTGGGACTTGCCAGACGAGGTCTCTGTGTTCGGGTGCACAACTACCGCTATACTGATTTGCGGAGGGTTTTATGGTTTGTGTTTCTAGGCAACTGTGGTATTTCCAGTTTGGGGTTCAGGGTCTTGACTCACCCCCCGCCCGTGCAATCAAAGCCGAGCAGTCCGAACGTGTGCTGCCCAGGCTTCTGGTTCTGGGTTGTCTTGGGGTTTTGGACAGCTCATACGACAAAAATGCCATGATAGTGATACTCTAAGAACTAGCATTTCAAACGATGAAGAAGATCTGAAGTCACCATCATGACCCCACAGCACTACCAGTACAACCACCAAGGTCTGCAAGTGCACAACCCTGCCCTGCACTCAACTCTACGGCTCTCAAATAACGCCACAAGGATTAGGCCAGTGCAGCCCCTTCCCCCTCTGGTCCGCGTTCCAA